GAAACCCAGCAGCTTTTGGCAGAAATGCATCTGGACCCCGCAGTAGGTTACTGTCGCTGGGCTACCCGAAGGTGGAAAAAGTGTTGTCCCTCCACCTGCTCCCCCTAGGCGGCTCGGTGGCCACCATTCTCCAGAGGCCACTGGACAGTCAGGTTTGGGCCCTCAGTGATGAGACGTGGGGGCCTCATGGGATGGGGGTGGAGCCAGCTTTTCCCTCCTCGTCCCAACAAGAACCCGAGTTGTCGCCCATGAATGGCCTTTCTGGCTCGTGATCAAGCTGCTTAACGGACATGATCCCAGAGACTCAGGAGCAAATCTCGGAACCCAGCAGGTTTTGACAAAAATCCCTCCAGATTTAAGTGTTAAAATTTCAGAATTTCAAAATCGCACGGCCATTACTGCAGCCACGCAACATCATATGTTATTAATAACCAGCAATAGAAAACAAATTGTCTACTTTTGCCTTTTCAGCAGATCAGAGTGTTGGGGTAAAATCTCAAATAACAATGGTGGGTCTGGTGTCAAGATATTGAATGTGATCAAAGCAGAGAGAGAGTAATGTGGAAATCATCTGCCCCACAGGTAAGGGGAGGGTGTGGGATGGAGGTATCCTGGGGTTGTTGGGGGTGGAGAATGGGCACTGGTGAAGGTATGAGTGTTTCCTTCTACGACTGAGACTTAGACCCGAAAGGTTTGTAACTGCTCTCACGCTGATTCAATAAATAAAATTATAAAAAATGGGGAAAAAAAAGTAAGGTGGAGTTCATGCCCAATTCAATCAGCTAATCGGTGGCTGAATAAATAGCAGTACTCCTACATAAAAAAAGGTTCAATACAACAATAATGTTTGTCATTACTTTTATGAATTTACATAGCTTCACAAACAATATGCTACTGGGAGCCAAGGTTTCAGCTTCCTAAATCCATATTTTCTAATTTTATGTATTTTGGCTTAGAATTATGAATACAATAGTTTAATTTTTGTGAGTATATGCAGTACCACATTCTCAACACAGAGCACAAGCAGCTCAGCCATCCCAGTAGGCTCTAACTCCAGACTGTAGTCTCTGGACCCTTCTTGGTTTGGGTCAGGCTGCATCCCTGCTCCGCCAGAAGGTCCAGCAACAAATCTGACTTCTTCTGGCATATGAATGGCCAAGATCTAAGACTAATCTCAGAGAGTAGACACAGCTGAGCAGATCCAGTTAGGATCCAGGCTGAGAGCTCGGGAGCCTTCTTAGGTTGGGGCAGGCTTGGCCCAAGCAGACCCAAATTCCTCCACATTTAGATGGTCCAGCTCCATGACCTGGGAAAAGGTGTAAACCTGCTGAATAATCCCGGTACTACAGCTCCTGGAACATACACACACAAGTAACATCTTGAAACTTTATAACGTTGACAGATTAGTAGGGGCACAAAAAATTAGATGAGGACATTGTATTGAAACCCGCTGGGTTAAATGAGTGAAAACAATAATAAAGGAAGCTAAAGTAGCACCTAATGGCTCAATAAATTCTCAAACAATTATTTTAGTAACATAATTGTGAGCTATCTGTTGTAATAAGAAATGTAAGGTAAATTATTTTGTGCCTGCAAAGGGGACAGAGATGGGGAGGGTTTAGAAACAGGGGACAATGGTGGAAGGAAGGTCACACTGGGGGCAGGACTGGTATTGGAACATTGAATACCTAAAAACAACTGTATTATGAGCAACTTTGTATATAACTATTTAAATTTTCAGACATTAAAACAAAAATCACAATTGTATAAAAGTTAATTTAAATTTGAAACATTTTATGTATCAATGACCAACCATTTTGGGTTTTTTTTGGGGGGGTGTCACACCTGGCTATGCACAGGGGTTACTCCTGGCTCTACACTCAGGAATTACCCCTGGCAGTGCTCAGGAGACCATATGGGACTCTGGGAATCGAACCCGGGTCGGCCGCATGCAAGGCAAACACCTTGCCCACTGTGCTATGGCTCCAGCCCCTCCATCCTGATGGAACGATAGCACAGTGGTAGGGCGTTTGCCTTGTGCACAGCCAGCCTGACTGAGCTGGGTTTGATTTCTCTGCCCCTCTTGGAGAGCCCAGCAAGCTACCGAGAGTATCTCGTCTGCATGGCAAAGTCTGGCAAGCTACCCATGACGTATTCAATATGCCAAACACAATAACAGCAAGTCTCAAAAAATGGAGAAGTTACTGGGCCCTCTCAAGCAAATCAATGAACAACGAGAGGACAGTGTTTGACAGTTTGAACAACCACATGAAATGCCTCAATATGATTATATGTAAATGTATATATATATATATGCCTATGATGTATTCTGTGCCTTTTCTATGATTGTCTTGATAATAGATAAATTTTGGGCCAGTTGCCCAAGGGTTGTTAGGCATGGCCCCTGGGCTCCTTGTGCACAGAAGGACATGAATTTCATATATTAATCAATAATCTGTTTTATTGAGATACAATTGCAGTTAATAAAAAATGCATCAAAAGTTTACAGAATAAAGATTGATCACTTTTCAAATATATACCTATGAAATTAATTGTGTAAAATGATCTATTGACTCTTCCAGTCCAACCTCCACAGTATTTTGGGCTGAACTGGGAATTAAACAAGGTCTCACATGTTATGTTTCTCATGAACATTGTCTTCATGAAATTCAGCTGCAGTCCGACCTTTCCACACTCACGGTTGAAGTCAGCCAGCATTTTTGCTGCTTGGCTAATGTTTGGTGTTATTAGAACAATGTCACTAGCAAAGCAGAGATGGTGTAGTTGCCGACCATCTATCTTCACTCCAAGTCTTTCCCATTGCACTTGTCACATGACGTTCTCAAGGGTGACACTGAAGAGTTTCAGTGAAATGGCATCACATTGTCAAACCTGTCTCTTTACATTGATGATCACTTCCTTGTAAAATGGTGAGATCCTAATGGCGAATTTATAATACACCTCACAGAGGATTCTGCTGTACTGAGTTTGAATGCCCTGTTTGGCTAGGGCTTTGATGACCTCTTCAGTCTCAACAGTATCAAAGGCCTTCTTTAAATCAATGAAGAGCAGCATCTTGAACTCTTGCAAAACCTCAATGACCTTGGTCACCATGTGGATATGGTCAATCATGCTGAACCCTTTTCAGAACCCAGGTTGCTCACATGGTTGTCCTTTGTCTAGTGTTCTGCGAATCCTATTCAGCATGACTCAAGTGAATAACTTGTAAATGACGACAATAGGCAGATTGGACAATAGTTGCTGATGGATGTCTTCCTTCTCGTATAACAGAACAGTCCTGCTCGTTTTCCATTGGGACAGAACCTTGCATTCAGAAGGTAGTGTGTGAAGAGTCGAGCCAGTGTATTGACGAGTACTGGCTACAGATTCTTCAGGTGTTCGGGTCAGACCTTGTCTGGACCAGGTGCTGTACACTTCTTTACCAATGAGATGGTGTGTCGGATTTCAGAAGGGAGAATACTAGGAATGACATATCCATACTGCAGAATTTGGTATGTGGGCAGGTGGACGTGCTATCAAATAGATCCAAGTAGAAGTCGTGGATAATCTTTCCATTGCCCTTCTGGAAGCTGTGATAGATTCATCAGGACGTCGGAGGGCAGTCATCTTGGTCTTGTAGTAGGCGAAGGACAGGCGGGTGTTGCAAATACTTTTCCTGGCTTCTGCTGCATCAACCATCACTGCTGCTCTTCTCTTTTTGAGGTCCTTTATCACTTCTCTGCACAGATTTGCAAGCTCAGGCGGTAGCTTGTGATTGACTGAGGTTCAAGCCAAACCACATTGGTGAATGAGCTCGAGAGTTTCCATAGACAGGGGTCTCTTTGTGACTTTCTCTTTCTTGGCATGCCTCACACAATCATGGAAGTGCTAAACCAGTAGACTGTATTCCTCATTGATGTTATCAATAATGGCTTCTTCCCATATTACCACAATAGTGCCAAAGAGCTCCCAGCTGGTGGTCATTCTGGGAGTTCTCTTCTTAAACTTTGCAGCCCTTTCTCACTGCTCTGTGAAGTAGAATTCCACACAAAGAACACGGTGGTCTGATCCCGTTTGGAATTTTGGGACAACAGTGACATCGGTCAGGAAAAACCCTCACTTGAATATGATGTGGTCAATTTCTTTGAAGAACTGTTCACCAGAAGACTCCCATGTCCATTGTTTAGATTTGGCCTTCTGGAACTGCGAGTTACTATGGATGGTCTTGGTCAACATGATGAAATCAGTCTCTCACCCTGTTTTTTCCATTCTAGGCCATGGGTCCCTATGTGGAGTTCTTCAGACAACCATCTCGGATCTATCTTGGCATTAAAATCACTGACAATGATCTTGTAGAAGGTGTGGTCTTCTTTATAGAACTTCTCCAGCTCCGTGTAGAATTTGTCAATTTCTTCTTCATCATAGTTGTATGTTGGTGTGTAGACAACAAAGATAGAAACTGCCAGCAATGAGACACATCTATTTAAATGTAAGCATCCGATTCGGGTTGTTAGGCACTTGAATGAATCAATGCTCATGGCCAAGTTTGTGTTGACAAGGACACCGACACCACCGCGGCCTCTACTGTCACATGTTCCGAGGAACAGTTCTTTTCCAGTGTCGAAAATGGCATGATGTGATCGATGTCTTCTCTTCTTGGTCAATTCAATGACATCATACTTGATTTTCTGCGCTTGTACCATCAGGTCCTCGATGGATGCTTCCGATGCCAGTGTATGCACATTAAAAGTGCAGATAGTCATTTTAGTCCTTCTTTGTTTTGGCAGCCTAGTTTGGCCCTGAGATTTTAGCAGCGTGTTCTTGCTCATCTTTCTCAATGCTACTGTACTGGGGGCTCTTCCAGGGTCAGGGGTATGAGGTCCATTTTTGTTACTGTTTTTGGCATATAGAATATGCCACGGGTAGCTTGCCAGGCTCTGCCATGAGGGTGGCATGTTGTAATGACCTGCACACTGACAAACACGCCACACACCTTGTGCATGACGTGCTGCTCTCATACGGAAAGTACTGGCCAGATCGACACGGTCAATGTAAAGAGTCTAGTCCTGCACCTGCCTGCATCTCTGGGCAGCACCTGTTGGTTCACTCTTCACCCATTGGTGCCATTGCCACACCCTCGTCATGATGAGGTGGTGAACCATCGAGGTCGGTGGACCTCACTTATCCACAATAGCTGGCCCCCTCCCTTTTCCTCGCTTATCTGCTATAGCTGCCCCCTCCCTATTCCTCACTTATCTACAAGTAGAAATATGTAAAATAACAAATGTGACTTTACAACATAAAATCACTTTAAATATTCAGAGATAGATGGGCTTGGGGAAAAAGTCTAATAAGCCTAACTAGAAATAAAAGTTACAATAGACATCACAAAATATAATACAATAGATATCACTAGAGCTGAATCTCACAAAGACAATGTTTATGAGAAACAGCCTCATTCCTGATGCTCTGTTCGCTCTCAACGGAACGACTATCTCCGAGTGCAATAGTTATGTGTACCTAGGTCAAGAAGTCAACATGACAAATGACCTGGCACCTGAGTTGCCCAGGAGGAAGAGAGCGGCTTGGAGCGCTTCAAGAGCATCAAAGAAATAGCTAACAGGATGAAGAATCTTGGACTCCAGGCACATATCTTTGATTCCACTGTTCTTCCTGCATTAACATACGCCTCAGAGACCTGGGCCCTATGCAAACAGAATGAGAACGCTATTCGGGTCTCCCAAAGAGGAATCAAAAGAGCTATGCTTGGAGTATCACGTTTCACTCAAATGAGAGAAAGTATCCGGAGTTCCAACCTCCGTTGAGATCAAGAATCAGGGACGCTGCCTCGTTTACCAAGGCGTCAAAAATCAGATGGGCTGGACACGTAATGAGATTTGGAGATGACCGCTGGATTAGAGCTGCTACCGACTGGATTCCACGGGACATCAAAAGACCGTGTGGCCGCCCACCTGCCAGATGGTCAGACTTCTTCGTCAAGACCCTGAATGATCGGTTTGAGGCTCTTTGTGTTCCTAGAATGAACAGACACCATTGGGCTACACTAGCATGCAACAGGGACAAATGGAGGCGTTACTGGAGCCCACTCAAGCAAATTGATGATTAATGGGAAGTCAATGATCAAGTGATAGATATCACAGAAATAAATGTTACAACAGATCACTGTATCACTCTCATCCCATCGATGGTCGAATTACTCGAGTGGGCGCCAATAACGTCTCTATTCTTCCCAGCCCTGAGATTTTAGCAGCCTCTTCTTACTAGCCTTTTCCCAATGATGGAAGACTATTTCAGGGTCAGGTGAATGAGACCTGTTGTTGTTACTGTATTTGGCATATTGAATATGCCACAGGGAGCTTGGCAGGCTCTGTGGGGCTGGATACTCTCGGTAGCTTGTTGGACTCTCCTACAAGCTATCAAGAGTATATATTGCCTACTGTCTGAACCCCATCAGATATGGTGTAGTAATTGTGGAAAATGGGTAGGAAATGTCTTATAATGTGTTGCACAGCTGCTTTGTAGCTACGCAGTCCAGAAAGCATCCTGGAGTGTCACGGTGGTTGGGTAATGGAGGTTGGCTGCCGGGGCTGGGTCCCTTGGGGTGAGGAGGGCTCTCACCCACCCCATGGTCTGGTGCATAGTCCGGTGGCAAGGTTCTGGAAGTCTCATTTTACACTCCCGTCTGGGAGGAGCATCCTGAGTTCTGGAGAGTGGCTGATGAGATTATCTGGTGCCAGCAGGGTGTGGCTTATGGAGACTAGGGGAAGCAAGCAAAGGAAATTTGTGACCTTGGACTCTGGACTCAATGGATCCCTGGAACAGAGATCCTCTGCCTGCTTCCCCCAGTCTCTGGTGACTCAGGGATCACATCCATATGCCACTCTCTGCCAGCATCAGATAATCTCCTCATCAGTCACCCTCCCAAACTCAGGATGCTCCTCCCAGATGGGAGTATAAAATGAGGCTCCCAGTACCATGCCACCAGACTACGCACCAGGCTGTGGGGCGGGTGAGAGCCCTTCTCACCCCAAGGGACCCAGCCCTGGCAGCTGACCTCCACTACCCAATCACCACCACACTCCAGGATGCTTTCCAGATGCTCAGGCCGAACCTCACACATGAATGAACCCATGGAACCCAGATAATGCGGTCTTTGTGACTTTGAACTCTGTATTCAATGGGACCCCGGAACAGAGTTACTACAGATACTACAGAAATTCAAAGGAAAATCAGATTATGAGATACAAAATTTATGCCATGAAATTAGGGAAACTGAAAGAAATGGATAAATTCTTGGACTGTTTTAGCTGGCTACAACTGAAGCAGGAGGACAAAGAATACCCAATAGACTGGTATTAGCAAAAATCCAAAATGGCAACCAAAAAATCTGCCCAAAAAACAAAAGCCCAGGCCCTGATAAGTCTGCTCAATATTTCTTCCAGTTTGAAAACTTGAAAATCGACATCCAATCCTTCACATGCTCTTTCAAAGAATATTTTCAGCCATTTTCCATAAGGCAAATGGTTGATACCCAAATATTACCCTGATACCAAAAGTAGAAAGAGACATCACCAAAGCATTCAACTCAAAGGAGGTGGTGCTGAAATCCTCTCAACAACAGTACTATAAAATACAGAGCAAAAATTTATACTTAAAATAAAGCTCTGGTAGGTGGGGGATAGTGGGTGTGTGGTATCATTGGTGGAGGAAGTGGACACTGGTGAAGGGATCAGTGTTGAAACATTGTATGCCTGAATCCAAATCATAAATAATTGTAATTTCATAGTACCTGAATTTAAAAGAAGTATAAAACTATAGACTTATATACTTGATGAATATAGACACAAAGACCCTCAACAAAATATTAGAAAATCTAATCTAACAATTCATTAAAAAGTTCATACACCATTATTAAGTAGAATTTCTCCCATGGGTGCAATTGGTTAACATATGAGAACCAATCAATGTAGTACACCATATAATATAAAGAAAAAATGAAATATATGATCATAACAGTAGAAATAGAAAAGGGCATTTGACAAAACTCAACACCCGTTTTTGAAAAAATAAATAATAAAATAGGGATAGAAGAAACTTTAGGCAAAGCCATTTACCACAATCCTACAGCTAACATCATACTAAATGCTGAAGAACTGAAGGCATTTCCCATATTAGGCACAAGAGTCTTTGTGACAGCAACAAGTAAAGAGATATAAAGTTCATTTTTAAAATTTATCTTGAATGAATCACCGTGAGATACAGTTACAAAACTTTTGTGACTGGGTTTCAGTCACACAATATTCCAACATCCATCCCTCCAGTAGTGTAAATTGCTCACCACAAATATTCTCCATATCCCTCCTGTTATAACGCACGCCACACCTCTCTCTCTCTCTCTCTCTCTCTCTCTCTCTCTCTCTCTCTCTCTCTCTCCCCCTCCCTCTCTCTCTCTCTCTCCCTCCCTCCCTCCTCCCTCCTCCCTCCCCCTTTTGGGGAATATGACTTTCAATATACAAACTGAGAGGCCATCATGTTCGGTCCTTTACCCACTTTCAGCACACATGTCCTATCCAGATCAATCCCTTCCAACAACCATTTCCATGATGGCCCCTTCTCTATCCCAACTGCCCTCTAACCCAGTCCTTGAGGCAGGCTTCTAGTCAAATGTTCACCATTTGCAAATGACATAATAATATACTTAGAAAACCATAATGACTCTATAAAAATGCTCCTAGAAACAATAAATTTTTTTCATCAAAATAGGAGGTTATAAAATCCATGTTCAGAAAACCATGGTATTTCTATGTGCAAGCAACGAAATTAAATAGAAATGTTTTAAAAATTCTAGTCACAATTGTGCCTCAAAAAATCAGTACTGGGGGTATGGTTCTGCCAGCAGGTCAATTTGTATCTGTGAGGCAAGTGCATCAGCAGCCTGATGGCACCGTCAGACTTTCAGATACCCCAAAATTGCTGCTTTGCCTTTGGCCAGACCACAAAAACTTGGGGCAAAGTTTACCAAGAAAGTAAACGGCCAAAAGTTAGGTATGTGGGAGACACACCCACAAACCACTAAGCTGACTCTCCAGCTAAGCTATATAATTGGAGGCATGGCCTCTCTGGTTCCTGATCAAACTGCTTAATGGCCATGATTCCAGAGACTCAGAAACGAATCTCGGAACCCAACAGCTTTTTGCAGAAATGCATCCTGTTCCTGCAGTAGGTCACTGGCTCTGGGCCACTCCAGGTGGGAATAGGTTTCGTGCCTTGGTCTGTTCCCCTTGGCAGCCCGGTGACCACCATCCTCCAGAGGCCACTGGACAGTCAGGTTTGGGCCTGCAGTGATGAGACACGTGGGGCCTCACCAGATGGGGGTGGAACCAGCCCTTTCCTCCCCATCCCAGCAAGACCCCGAGTCGCCACCTACAATGGCCTCTCTGGCTCCTGATCAAACTAATTAATGGCAATGATCCCAGAGACTCAGAAACAAATCTCGAAACCCAGCGGCTTTTGGCAGAAATGCATCTGGACCGCATACAAGGTGGCCACCGCCTCAGATGCTTCTTGGAAAGCCAGGTATGAGCCAGCGGTGACAGGGCAATGGCAGTCTCATGGGAAGGGGGGTGGTACCGGCTCATCCTTCACGCCCTACCGTGGTCATGAGTTGCCCCCCATGAGTGGCTCTGCAGCACGGCCATGGCTGCAGAGGCAAAAGGACTTAGTCCAGATCCCGGAAGCTTGTGGCAGAAAAGTGAATGGACCGTGCATTAAACCATGGTGCCATGCTTCCCTGGGAGGGAAAGGGTGTTGCTCCCTTCCGCCTCCCCCCAACCCCCGCCAGCAGCAAGGTGGCCACCGCCTCAGAGCTTATAAGAAAGCCAGGTATGAGCCGGCGGTGACGGGGCAACTGCAGTCTCATGGGAAGGGGGCAGTACCAGCTCATCCTTTGCGCCCTACCGAGGTCACAAGTTGCCCCCCATGAGCGGCTCTCCGGCACAGCCATAACACCAGACGCACAGAAACCAATCTCGTAATTATCTGGCTCTTTGCAGAAATCCAAAATTGCGAGGCCACTTTTGCAGCCACGTGAGATTATATGATTCTTATAATCAGCTATAGAAAACAAAGTATTTCACAATGCCTTTTCAGCAATTCTGATTGTTGGGGGGACGGGAATTCTAAACAATAATGGTGCATCTTTTGTCGAAATAATGAATGTAATCAATGTAGAGAATAGTTAAGTGGAAATCATCTGCCTCACAGGCATTGGGAGGGGTGGGAGGGGGGTATATTGGGGTTCTTGGTGGTGAAAAATGAGTACTGGTGAAGGAATAAATGTTTGATCATTGTGTGACCGAGACTAAAATCTGAAAGCTTAGTAACTTTTCCCACAGTGATTCAATAAATAAATATAAGAAGAAAAATAATAAATAAAATTATGAAAAAAGTAAAAAAAATCAGTACCTGTGAACCAGCTTATATAATGAAATTAAGATAATTACTGAAATAAAATAAACAGATGAAGATCCAAGGAAATGGAAACAACACCCAATTTATGGATGAAAAGAATCAATATTGGCAAAATGACCAACTTTCCCAAGTTTAATATATACAGATTCAACAAAGTGCCTATAAAAATACTCATGACATTTTTAGAGATATATGCCAAATGCTTTTGAAATTAAAAATGGAGTAATCAAAGCCCTTGAATATCCAAAACAAAACAATCCTAGCAAAAAAAAGACAGGAGGCTCTTCTTTCCCCCACCCTTAAATTATGATATAAAGCTATAATAATCAAGACTGCAGTACTTGACTGACTCTCACACCAATGAAATATATTTGAGATCCCAGAAACAAATCCTATGAAATATGGTCACTTAGTCTTAGACAAATGAGATCAGAATGTAAAACAGAGCAGAAAAAGTCTCAAGTAAATGGTGTTGGGTAAACTGGTCTGTCATATGCAGGGAGAAAAACACACTCAGACTTCTAGCTCACACTATGTAAAAAGCCATTTCAAAATGAACTAAAGACCTTGGTATCTGACCACAATCAATAAATTATATTGATGAAATATAGGAGAAAAAACTTCATGACATTTAGTCTAACAGCATCTTCAGTGACTTAATGTCACTGGTCAAGCAAACAGAAGTAAAGGTGAACAAATAAGATAACATCAAATTAAAAAGCTTTTGCACCACCAAAAAAAGTGATCATCAGAATAAAACGACACTCCACAGATTAGAAGTAAATCTTTTCCCAAGTCATCTGATAAAAACTTAGAATTCAAGAAAAATAAAACACTTGTAAAACTTAGCAATAACAAAAATAAATTAATCATGGGGGAAAATAACAAAAAGAGATGAACATGAACTACATTAAAGATGACCTACAAATGGCCAACAGATACATGACACGTGCTCAACATCCCTTATCATTGAGAAAATACAAATCAAAACAATGATTTTTTGAATATCACTTCATATCAGTGACTGGCACAGAAATAAGTATAAAAACAATCAGTGTTGGCATAAATGTGGGAAAAAGAGAACTTCTTTCACTGTTGGAGGAAAGGTTTTCTGGTTGAATCCTTTTTGAAATAATATTGGACACTTCTCAGAAAGCTAGGAATTGAGCTTCAATAATCTAGCAATTCCAGTACTTGGCATCTACCCTCAAGGTCCTAAACTCTATTCAGAAAAGATATTTCCATGCCAATCTTCATTGCAATGATAATAATAATGGTCAAAATCTGGAAATAATCCAAGTGTTCAAGTACAGATGATTGGATAAAGGAATATATATATTCATACACATACATAACATACATAAGAACATATAATACATATATCGCATATATAATACATATATACTTATGTATTATATATGCAATATATAAGGAGGTAAGAAGGCGTCTACACTGAATGAACCCCTTGCGCTCTCCTGAACCCCGCTCACCATCTCGCTCTGGATGATCCGTGACTCCGCACGCCAGGCATGGAATTCCAGAGGTGATCCCTGCTGGAACTCTGTGCATAATTCCTGCTGGACATCACCTGTTGCTTTGCGGGATTAAGACAGAGTGGCATCGGAAGGGCAAGGTAAAAACCACGGTGACGCCCGCAGCATCACTGCCTCCTCCGGTCAGGCTGAGTCACAACACCTTCGAGCATGGAACAATGACAGTAGTGTATACAATGGCTTATCCACTGCAGGATGTTGTCCACCAACCACCAAGTGACTTGGGACTCGGCACAGGTGTTCGACCTGGCACATACCCTCTGCAATGTATGTGTACATAGCTCTGCCAGCTATTCAACGACCTTCAGGCGTGCTCCATCCACCTCAAGGAGACCAACCTGATGCCGTAGATGCTCCAGGCGCTACCCCGAGAGGCAGGCAGGTGCGTGTTGTCAGCGTGCAAATTGTTACAGCAGGCTGATCACCAGGAACTTACATTCAGTAGACTGGGAACACCTGCAGGAATGATTAGAGATCACCCCATAAGCCTACCCCACCCTCAGGAGAGACCCACAGGCTACCAACAGTATCCAGCCCACATACCAGAGCCTGGCAAGCTACCCATGATGTACTAAATATGCCAACAGCAGTAGCAAAAATGGATCTCATTTCCTTAACTCTGAAGGAGTCTTCAGCTGAGTTGGGAAGAACGAGAGGGGTAATACTGAGCAGAAGGGCGCAAGACAATGCGCGGGAAGGTGCCCCACCAGCAGCTGGCCACCAAGGCAGCTTGTAAGAGAGCGCCAGCCAAGAACAGCATGAAGCTGCACCACTACCGGCCCAACACCATGGCTCTGCATGAAATCTGCCACTACCAGAAGTCCACCGAGCTGCCTATCCGCAAGCTGCCATTCCAGCAGGTGGTGTGTAAGATTGCGCAGGACTTCAAGACAGACCTGCACTCCCAGACCTTGGCCGTCATGGTGCTGCAGGAGGGGTGCAAGACATACCTGGTGGGGCTCTTCAAGGATACCAACTTTTGCACCATCCGTGCCAAGCACGTCACCATTATGCCCAAGGACATCTAGCTGGCGTGCCGCATCCGCAGAGAGAGAGCATGAAGTTTACGATTCTAAAATCTCAGGTCTGGGACAAACGGAGACGCTACTGGCGCCTGCTCAAGCAAACAGATGATTATCGGGATGACAGTGCAATTATATATGTACATACACACTAGAATACTACTCAGATATAAGAAAAGATGCAGTAATGAAACTTGCTGCTACAGGAATTAAACTTGAAGTTATGTCTAGTGAAATCAGTCAGAAGGAAAAAAGACAGATAGAGTGATCACTCTCATATGTGGGATATAAAGAAACATAATAAGGGAGCAACAATTGGCCAAAGACAACAGAACTGGAGAGTTGGTCTACAAAACTAAGATTACTTTTGGGGGGGGGGGTAGTTAGAGGACAAAGGAGTGAATGTGGAGGAGGAGTCCTTGAGACATTGATTGAGTGGTGGGTGTGGGTGGGGTTGGAAAGATGTATTTATGAAACAATCAGTTAACAGCATTATAAATCATATTGCCTCAACTAAGACAGGAAAATATAAATAAGTTTAATTTAAAATATGTGTAAAATTTTTATTGACGATGAAAAAATTACTTTTTATTCATTTGTGCAAAACTATAAATCAAATATTTCATATGCTGTCTACTTAGAAAACAGGGTAATATTTTCTAAGAAAGTTCTCCATATATGTCATATATACATATATATCATGACAAGTCCTTGAGAGAAGAGTAGACCTAACATATTTTTGAATATATAAACATAGATATATGTGTATATATTTTTATCTTTACCATTTGCTCTTCTTCCAAGTGTTTGTTATGAGTCCTCTAACCACTATACTCCCTTGCTTCTAGAAGTTTTGTCCCATGGAAAGTGACCACCTGAATCAGAATTTCTACCAGTCTGAAAACCACTGACCTAGTTAAACCATCATCCTTCAAAACAGGATACTAGGTGATGAGTGTGGTGTTGTAATTTTGCTCATAAGAAACCATCAATAACAGAATTGCAAATGACAGAATCTCAATCAATAAAAACTTATAAGTAAAAACAGGATGCAGACTTAGGTGAATTATGTTGCCTAAGAACACATATTCAATCAACATACATGACAGTTAACAAAGATGTGTAGAGTGAAGCATGTATCTTTTATTGAACATATTACAGAACTATAAAGAGATAATTAGTGCCAGCCTTGTTTGTGCTGTTCTTCCCTCATCTCAAAGGAGAAGCAGTAAGGGGAGTGTCCTTAACAGAAAGACCAGAAGGAGCAACTGAAGAGGTATGGAGAGGGTAAAACTGAAGATCATTTGATGAATCTCCCAAGTCGCATCATTTTTGTATTTTTCTGACTTACTAGCCTCGAATTGTCCTGGGGTGACTAATAGGAAGCTCAGTAACCAGAATCAATTTTATATGCACATAAGTGAAAATTTATTTGCAGAACAGAGCACATAGATGAACTGGAAGGGGATGATCTTAATTGGGATGATAAAACATGAAAAGGTATCTGTTTATCTTAAACTCAAATAAATAAAATCCCACCTATACTAAGTGGGCAAGTATCTGTGTTCATCTATTCACACTCTCACATTCTTCCTTGTGACAATAAATCTCCAAAGGCATATTCTGTGGCAGATGACACACACACTTTCGCCTTCCAGCATTATATAATTATCCACTGGAGCCATTAATGCTGACCAGAAAATCCAGGCCATCTAATATATCCCATATAATATGAAAGAGGCAACCTAAGATAAGAGAAGAAACTTTGATCTTATTAGAAGTCCTTGCTCATTTTCTAGTGGAAATGGAAACACATCACATTCAGTTAGTTTTACCTTTGTCAAAAAACTAAAGTTTCTAATCACATCCACAATATGTGAATGAATACAGTATTCATTTCCTGAAGAAAACTGACCAATCACTACCGAAGAGAGAGAGAGTGCTGAGGGGTGGAGGGTTCCTACAGAGTCAAGGAGATTTCTAGATTCATTCTGGACTGACTTAAGGCAGCACTCCTGCTTACCTGCGCCCAGATCTCCATCACCCTGAAATCGAAGGATGTGATCCATCACTTCCGCAGACAGCCTCTGTACTTGGCTCTCTTCATCTTTGATGACTAGGGAGATATTGTACATCAACAGTCAGATGGGCAGCATGCCAAAGCCACTTCAGAGTCAAGGTTATTTCAGGCAGACTGTTTTGTCCCTGTTGCAATTCCTCCTAGCTGCTGTGTCAGAGTACTTAAAATCATCTGTAATTCAGAAAATTCTTACTCTGAGAAAAATTGAGTAGCAAACAAAGACTCCTTCATCCTATGTGTTCCTAGGTCACCTCTCTCCCCAACTGACCAGTTTTGTAATTGTGGGCCTCCTTAGTTCTCAAAAAAATTTTTTTTAATTAGTGAATCACCATGAGGTACAATTACAGACTTACGAACTTCCATGCTTGCATTTCGGTCATAAAATGGTTGAGTATCCCTCCCTCCACAAGTGCCCATTTTCCACCACCAATGGCTCCAGCATCCCTCCCACCAGCCCCACACCATCACCACTACCCCCTCCCTCCCCTCTGTAGCAAGACATTCCCTTTTGCTATCTCCTTTTGGGTGTTGTGGTTTGCAATAGAGGTATTAAGTGGCCATCATGTTTGGTCTATATTCTGCTTTCAGGGTCTGTCTCCCATCCTGATCGGATCCTCCTAGCACCATTTACTTGGTGATCCCTTCTCTAACTGAGCTACCTTTTCCCCCAAAAGGTGAGTCCAGCTTCTAAGCTGTGGAGTAATCCTCCCAGTATAATCTTGGGTGTTAGTCTCCCATTCTGTTACTTTATATTCTACAAGAATGGTAAGATCGTGGTAGTGAATTCATAATACAGCTCACGGAGGATCCTGAAGTATTGAGCTTGAACACCATGTTTGGCTAAGGGCTTCGATGACCACTTCAGTCTTAACAGAATCAAAGGCCTTCTATAAATCAATGAACGTTAGACAGAGTGGCATATTGAACTCCTGAGAAACCTCAATGAGCTTGATTATTGTTTGGATATGGTCAATTGTGCTGAATCCTTTTAGGAACCCAGCATGCTTGCATGGTTGTCCTTCATCTAGTGTTCTGCCAATCCTATTCAGGATGACTCAAGTGAACAGTTTGTAGATGACAGACAATAGGCAGATTGGGCAATAGTTGCCAATGTTGTGGATGTCTCCCTTCTTGTATAGTAGTACAAGTCCTGCTGGTTTTCCACTGGGATGGAAACTTGCATTCAGAAAGGTAGCATGTGAAGAGCCAAGCCAGTGTTTTGATGAGTACTGACAGTCGGTTCTTCGAGTGTTTGGTCCAACCTTGCCTGGGCTGGGTGCTGTTCACTTCTTTACCAACAAAATGGCGTGTTGGGTTTCAGAAGGGAGAATGTTGGGAACAACATATCCATCCTGCAGAATTTGGTATGTGGGCAGATGGACGTGGCTATCGAAGAGATCCGAGTAGATGTCTTGGCTAATCTTCTCCATGCCCTTCTGGAAGATGTGGTAGATCCATCAGGACGTCAGAGGGCAGTCATCTTGGTCTTGTAGTTGGCAAAGGATAGGCAGGCATTGCTAATGCTTTTCCCTGCTCCTGCCGCATTGGCCAGCACTGCAGCTCTTCCCTCATTGAGGTCTTCCTTTATGGCTTCTCTACACTGCTTTGCGAGCTCAGACGTTCACTTGTGGTTGCCTGAGGCTCAGCCAAGCCACGTTGGCAAATGAGCATGAGAGTTTTCGGAGACAGGCGTCTTTTTGTGGCTATCTCTCTTTCGGCATTCCTCACACAATCATGAAGGTACTGAACCAGTCGATCATATTCTTTGTCAATGTTGTCAATGACGGCATCTTCCCATGTTGCCACAATAATACCAAAGAGCTCCCAGTTGATGGGTGTTTTCTTCTTAAACTTTGTAGCCTTGGGGCTGGAGCAATAGCACAGCGGGTAGGGCGTTTGCCTTGCACGCAGCCAACATGACCAACACAGGTTCAATTCCCAGCACCCGATATGGTCCCCTGAGCACCACCAGGGGCAATTCCTGAGTGCATGAGCCAGGAGTAACCCCTGAGCATCGCCGGGTGTGACCCAAAAAGCAAAAAAAAAAAAAAAAAAACTTTGTAGCCTTTTCTCCCCACTCCATGAAGTAGAATTCTGCATGAAGGAGACAATGGTCTGATCCCATTTGGAATTTTGGGACAGCAGCAACATTGGTCAGGCAAAATTGTCGATTGAATATGATGAGGTCAATTTTGTTGTGGAACCATCCAGCAGGAGACTCATGTCCAATGTTTAGATTCACCTTCTGGAACTGTGAGTTACCATGGATGGTCTTGGTCAACATGAAGAACTCAGTCTCTCACCCTGTTACATTCTAGGCAATGGGTCCCAATGTGAAGTTCTTTGGCTGATCTTCTCAGTCATATCTTGGCATTAAAATCACTGACAATGATCTTGTAGAAGGTGTGGTCCTCTTTATAGAACTTCTCCAGCTCCATGTAGAACTTCTAAATTTCTTCTTCATCATAACTGGATGTTGGTGCATAGACAACAAGGATAGAAACTGCCAGCAATGAGCCACATCTATTCAAGTGTAATTGTCCAATTCAGGTTGTTAGGCATTCTAATGAATCAATGCTCATGGCCAAGTTCGTGTTGACAAGGACACTAACACCACCGATACCTCTTTTGTGGCATGTTCAGAGGAACAGTTCTCCATTGTCGGAAATTGTGTGATGTGATTGATGCCTTCTCATCTCAGTCAGACCAATGATGTCATACTTGATCTTCCGCACTTGCACCATTCGGTCCTTGATGGATGCATCCGATGCCAGCATACATGCATTGAAAGTACAGACAGTCATTTTAGTCCTTTGTTTTGGCAGCCAAGTTCGGCCCTGAGATTTTATCAGCCTCTCCTCCCTCATCCTTCTTAACACTGCCATATTGGAGGTTCTTTCAGGGTCAGGGGAATGATACCCATTTT